TTTGCAGATGAAGATTCGTTGAGGATAGATAGAGCTGCACAAGTATCAACAGATGTCTTGACTTGAAGCCACGAATCGAGTCGTGTTCACGCGCACTAAATTGAGGAGTAAGCGCTAGGCTTATTGCGGCTCAATGCGCGAGTATCCTTGTTACAACGCCCGACACGTTCACAAGCTTGGAGCTGATTGACCCTACTACAAGTAAAAGGCTAAGTCTCATGGCTGATCGAATAGCTAATTATTGGCTGAGTCGCAGAGACCCAACCGTTTCTGAAGCAGCGGCACGATGCTGTCACCTTCCTCGGCTCCGATAAGGCGTGATGGACGGGGCTAGAGCATGGTAAGCGTGGTAGATGTTGTGGTTATAAGTACATGATAGATCCTCTCTTGGTCGCTTTACATCGTACAGATTGTGGATCGTATCTTCTGCTCTCCCTTTCTTCTCCATCGCAAACTTATTTCTCTGCCACCATGACAGACTCATCATGTTCCGAGTGCATCAAAGTAAGCTACAACAGCCACCTCATGGACACCCATACTCACCACAAACTAGGGCACCATCCACTCCGGCCAACCCAAAGGCACTGAGGAACTCATCCACGGCCTCAACACCTACGTGATTGGAAACCGCATCAATCCTCGCGGCATCATCGTGATTTACTCCGACATTTTTGGTCTCGCACTGCCCAACAACAAACTCATCGCCGACGCCTATGCTGCCAGCGGACAATGGCTCGTAAGCACCTCCCCGTCAGCCCATTGGTGCAAACAGAGACTTACCTCCCTTCAGGTCTATCTCCCAGATTTCTTCCACGGCGACCCAGTCGACCTAAAAGTCGCCGATGCACTGCTCCCCGTCGACGCAGCCGCGCAATCCACCTTTGCCAAATACACCGGCATCCTCGCCAGCATGCCCACATTCCTCATGTGGCGAACGCGCCACAAGCACGCCGACGTCGAAAAGACATGCATTGATTTCCTCAGCTCACTCCGCCGCGCAACGCCCGACAAAAAGATCGGCATAGTAGGCTTCTGCTGGGGCGGCCGCTATGCCATCCGCGCCGGCATGGCGCAGCACCAAATCTCCATCAACAATACTGCGACACCGTTGATCGACGCCGTGGTCGCGTTACACCCGAGTAATATGGTGCTGCCGGATGATGTCATGGAGCTGGTTGTGCCGGTGAGTTATGGCTGGGGCGCGCAGGATATTGCGGTGAGTTATGCGACGAGAGGCAAGATTGAGAAGTTTCATGAGGAGGAGAGGGGTAGGGGAAAAAGGGTGCCGGAGATGAAGCATTGCAGGTATGAGCCGGGGCGCCATGGTTTTGCGGTTAGGGGGATCCGGGTGATGAGGGGGAGAGGAGGTGTTTGGAGGAGGCGGAGAGGCAGGCCTTGGAGTGGATGGAGAAGTGGCTTTAGGTGGGATTGGGTGGAGATAGTTTCTGCAGAGTTCATATTTGCTCATTGTGTTTGATGCCCGAGGCGATGACATTAATATGTAGCGGACAAATGTAGACCACAGACATACTGCGTATACCTCCAGCCCATCGAATAGGCGAACAGCTGTTGCACGTCTGGATCCTCCCATGTGCTTAGAGAAAGGTTGTCCAGCTTGTATTGAGTGAGCTGGGTTCAGTTCCTTGCCCTGAAATCGATGCCTGTCTTGCAGATGTGTGATAGCTTAGGCGGTTCCACTGTTTCATCTGTACTTTCCAGCCGCAAATTTTGGGCTTTCTTACACTATGCAAAATTTTTAAGAGATCCGCGCCGGAAATACACTTTATCGCGCGTGTCGCCAGCCCAGTATCCGCTTATGATGCGTTCTCTTATCGCCTGTTGACAGCCAGCGCAAGAAACTCCAGCAAGATATGAAAGCAGTTACCTCTAGTGACTCAAGTAATGGCGATTGCACGTACACAAAATCTTCGAGGCTATCCAGGATACACGGTCAGTGGTACGGTATTCTGAATGGGTGCGCCTCGGTATTCAGAACGAAGTCGTCCAGACTTATCTCATCAGGATCAGTGAAGATGAGGTAGAAGTACTTGAGCGTCTCGGCAAGCCAAAAGCTTTCCATGCTGTCGTACGTCTCCATTGGTGTCTTCATGACGTCCGCAATGGCCGCGTTCGCGAAGTCCGTGCGCGTATGGGTGCTAATGGCCTGAAACATTTCCCATGCGATATCTTGATACTTCGAGTCGCCGGTGATGCGATACATGTAAAAGATTGACTCTATCGCTTCGGGCCTGAGAACGTACCGCCCGTCGCCAACCTCGCTGAATGGACTTGTCCCGGGCTCCAGTGTGTACTCGCATGCTGACAGAGTCGGACATGCGGTCATGGAGAAGACTTCCGGCATGATCCCATTTGGGGCATTCTTGTATGTCCATGCGCAGCCTTCTGAGATCTTACGTCCGATGTCCATGTGTGTGCTGTTATCGAAAAGCCGCCCACCAAGAGCAAACATGCCACCAGCAAAGCACACCAGATGCTGACCTTTGTCATCTCTTTTGCCATCGACGTTCGCACCGGCGATCAGTATATCTGCTTTGTCGTGGACCATAGGACGGAACAACGTATGTCTGATCGCCGTGGACATTGCATACTCATACATTTTCTGATACTGTGCGGCGACTGTTCCGACGCCGTTGAGTAGTTGATGCATTTTGCCTATGTACTCATATGTCGAGTCTGCCATCGCGCCCAGACCGAAGAAGCCATCGAAAGTCAAGTCTGGCTTTCGCATGTTTACACTGATTGGCCACATGCCTGGAAGTTTGGTCAATCCCTTGTTGTTGATCAAGGACATCCGTGACTCTCGATATAGCATCATAATACCGCATGTCTCCCGTGAGCTGCGAAAGGCGAGTGAATTCCAAGCTGGCAGAAGCCGCCTCAGCGATCAGAACTGATTCGGCTGGCAACTGTTCTTCGCCGGCAACAGCTTTTTTCGGGCTCCATCTCGAAACCGGCATCCTGTTTGGAGTGTCGAATGAGGCATATGCCATGTCTGCAACTTCGATAGCCTTGTTCAGGAGCCGCGCATCGTGGCAGCCAGATACATCGTAGGCACCCAGAAACCCCCCAAGGTAACGAATGATTGTTTCGAACACGTTGATCTCGCCATCAATCTTCGGGCCAAAGTCGATTTGTACGGCAGCATCAACGGCTTCTGCGAATTCCTGCTTCATGTCCATGATCCAGAGTGTATCTAGGGTGTCGACTAGAGTAGCTCCCCAACTCCCAAAGGTGTCTCTAGCACCTCCAGAGATGGGAGCAAGTTCGTCTTTTGTCCATGCTTGATCTTTGTAGGACTTCCAGCATCGTGCAAAAACTTCTCTTACAGCCTCTTTACGAGAGGCAACTTCGAGTTTAGCTCCTGTAGAAGCCCGTATCAAACTTCGCTTGAACAGCGGGTCTAGGTACTGGTTTGCCTAACGGCAGTCGAAAGAATTGCTCGACTGGGGCGGTGTTTCGGAATGGTCCTCCAATTGAAGCGGCCTTGGGTATCTGGTTCGACCACTAAATTTGGCGGCGTGGATGGGCAAGCATGAAAATCTCCTGAGGGAGCTTTTGTTGATGGAGCAGAGTGTTGGTGATCGTTGGGAAGAACCAAGCTCCTAGATGGTGCGAAGCGAGCAGGAAGCGGCGCAATGGTCGCTAGAAAGACAAACGCTGCGATAAGAAAAATAGGCCATCGATACCTTCTCAAAAACATAATTCACTTATCGAGCACAAAGTTGTGATCTGAATCGCAAGATGTAGTCGCGCGACGAGATGGTGAAAAGTATACTGAGTGGCGCCACATGTAGCCTAAGTGTTTCACGAGTCAACAAAGCGCGTGGAGAGATGCACGTACCCCTACGTACCCCACTTATCAACCGTGCCGCAATACTTCACTTCGGGCCAGCTAACGGCACTGTATCACTGGTTGAAATGCCTTTCATCAGAACAAATTATGTTTGTTGGCGCCCTGCCCTGTTCAAGAGAAACCAGCAAAGCCTGAAAGAGCATGTGCTTCGGTTTCACATCGGCAGCATCATGAACAAAAGGGACATCACCCTGCATATGCATTGACCGCGCCGCCGCTATTACACTCAAGCTCTTTGCCGCCTGTCATGTCTTTATACACAAATCAGCTCTTTTTCCGCACGATAGCCTCGCCCTATAATCCTTCACATCTTTGCAACGCACCATTGGTGGTGGGTATCCGGCAGAAATGAAAATTCACTTCGCTCTCATCCTATATTTGATCTACCTTCCTCTACAAGCATGCTGTCAAACAGTACAGGATGACTGGACAGCACCCGCAGCTCCAGAAGGATCTACACCACTGCAAAGCGGCTCGAAATTCACTCTGATCTGGAAGATAGGTCTCCAAGACAATTGTGCAACATACTGTCCTTTGTGCGATACGAAGAAACTCGATCTTTGGATCACCAACTTCAATGGAACCAAATATACGTCTAAGATTGGTCGTAAGCATCAATCTACATCATCCTTCTTTTGTGGAAATGAAAGCTGACATTGCACTTAGGTGGTATCGATATCGCTACGACCGCATCCTACGATTGGAACGTAAACATCGCCTTCGATGCGTTTCCGTCAAACGACTTTTGGGTGTTCCGCTTTACCTTCTTCGACTCCGACGATTCATTCGCACAGCAGATATCCTCTCCGGGCTTCAAGATAAGTGGGCTTATCAAAGCCTCTAGCACGGTCGTGATACCATCCAGTAGTATGTTCACAGTCTATCTCATCGAGCATCTTTGTACTCAACGCATACATAGGTGCCACTTCCTCTAGGTCAACATCCTCGAATCTCGCGACTACCTCTAGCACACCACAACCTACAGCACAGCCAATTACATCGATTTCATCATCGAAAAGTAAAACTTGGATATCGGGTGTTGTCGTAGGGCCTGTCGTTCGTTTACTCCTCGGTGCTGTACTCATGTGGTTTTGCCTACGTAGACGCAAATCCAATAGGGTAGAGCAGAACCAAGCGAATAGAGGCCACGGTCGAGATGAACAAGGTGAACAAGATGCATTTGGACAGGTTCCGAAAGAAGGGTACTTTCAGACGAGAAACCAAGACCAGCAAATCGCAGAAGTCTCAGGGCACACGACGCCCAAACCACCCGCAGAGCTGTGGGAAGGAAATTATCGCTCAAAGCCGTAGCCTGAACGGGGGCGGGTCCAATTTACGCGGTTTGTCTTGTGCCAAAGCATATGTTCATAGTTGATAATGTGTTCCGCTACTCCTATTTCCACACTTGTTTGTACCACCCAGAACCGTGCAATTCGTGCTGGTGATCGGCACTTAATACTGCACCCTCTTGATTAGCAAATCCTTCGTTGGATCAGGCGACGAGGACCGCCCCAACCTAAACTGCTGATATCTCTCTGTCAACCCGTCGGGCATCTTGATATCAAAATTCAGGATGAGTCTCGCCATAATCATCTTGATCTCGTTCGCAGCAAAGAACCGTCCAGGACAAGCGCGCGCTCCGTAGCCAAACATGAGATTGGTTTCATTTGTCGTAACGAACAAATTTCGAGCCTGAACGGTGGCGTCACCTTTGCCACTGTGGCGCAGCTTGTAATGTCTGAAGCCGTCAAACTTGTGCGCGTCGGGCCAGAGTTCCGAGTCCTGGTAGATGGCGTTGACAGGGGCTTCGATGACGACGCCGGGAGGGATGTATTGGCCGTTTGAGAGCGTAATGCCCTTGAGGACTTTACGACCGAAACTGCCTGGGATTTTGTTAGCGACAGCAAAGTAGAGAATTGGGTATGCTCATACCAGTCTCCATTTGGTAAAAGCGGATCACTTCCTTCATGTATGAGTCTAGCTTCTCCAACTGCCCCAAGGCAGTCGAGGTCAGCACACCATCGTGCTTGGCTAGCACGGTCCGAATTTCCTCACGTAGAGGTGCGATATACTCGGGCGTTGTTGCTAGGGTATAGAGAATATTGGTGCCTGTTGCGGTGGTGGTGTGCACGGCAGCGAAACTGAGCTGAAGCTGGTCCTTGGCAACCTTGGCTATATCGAGAGAGCCATTCTTGCGCTCCGTGCGGTCCATCATCCACTGCATCGCATCACTTGGCTTTTTATAAGTCGGATCGTTTTCCTCAGCGTACAGCCTCTGTCTGAGAAGAGGTTCAAAGAAGTTGGCTGCCCTGCGCTCCCTCTCACGTATTTTTTTGACCTCAGGAAGCCGACTAGCGAATAGTGACTTGAGCATTGGATGCATCTTCTTGATGGCTGCATGTGCATTGATGACCTCCATGGTGTAATTAAGCGCCGCGTCAAGATATTCTGGTTCATGGCAAAGCTCAGGTCCAACAAATACTCGACCGGATACCTGAGCCACAATTTGGGCGATGCTGTTGTAGACGTTAATTCGAGTCCAATCCTCAGCCGGAGGAATGTATTTGTTTATGGAAACATCGACTTCGTCCATTATAGTCGCGTTCAAACGTGCTACAAAAGGCTTAGCAAACGGCAGAATCACGAATCTAACAGTCTTCCTACCCAGAGCTGGCGTAAGATCACTTTTCACTGCGTGAACCATGCTTTTGAGATCCGGGTCCAATCCAACGTATTTAGTTTCAAGTTGCTGCACAAGAGTCAATATCCAGCAATGCAACGATAGAACACACAAAACATACAGCAGCAAGAGCTTGTGGCATGTTTAGGACATCGTCGGGAAGCTGTCGTAATTCGCGCAGAAACTTAGTTGGGATGACCACATGGTTGTCCCCATCCCCTGCTGCGACACGCCAGGCCGAGTCTTTGTACCAGGGGTTTATTAGCAAAACGATATCTTGGTGACCGACACCCTTCCTACCTTATGGTATCCATCTTTGTAAGTCTGGAACGCGAATTGGTAAAAGTGCTCGAACTGCCCCTCGCCAAAGGTTGGTAACTTTGCTAGCTTCAACTTGTAGTTAATAGTAGGTAGCAGAGTGATGAGAAAGAAAATGGAACCGGCGATTATTATTGTTGGCAGGGAGCTTGCAAGTGTTGCGTAAATTTCGCTTCCCATGATGGCAAGAAGTGGATCGCACAAGTTGAAGTTAAAATTGCAGAACGTTGAGGAAACGGTCGTACTTAAGTTATCGGCCATGCATGTTGTATTCTATCTGTTCCCGCGCCAACGTCAGCAATTCGGCGGCACTGAGGTTCTTGGATGCAACTTATACGGTCTATACGCCGATGCGAGGCTTTTGAGTGGAGCTTTTACGGTCTATACGGTCAACGTCCTCGGAACGCTGGAGTTGCCGATCCGTGAAATTGTCCTGAGTCTCGATGAGTCATGATTGGTCGAAATGACGCCGCAAGGGAGCGGCCGCTTTGGAGCGACTGTGGAAGGACCGAATGCCTACGAATCTCTCCCGATTATTAATAACCTGAAGACTTCGGATACAGATGCCCCGCACATATAAGCGGACGAAAGTTTGCTAGACTGGGACTTGATCAGTCATGCGATGGGGCTGTTCACTCACTCTGATTGATCAACTCAGTGGACACCGGAATTGCCGAACAATAAAGTTCTGCCAAGAATGAATAGAAAGGCTAACATACCACTGTTGTGTCTGCAGTACCTTAGAGGGGCATGGCTTCCCGACCCGGAATAGGTAGACAGACAAGTTCCTAAGGATCGCTGCAGACACACAAACGTACCCCTCTACGACCGCATCTCCAAGACAGTCAGCGTATCCTTCTCCTCTCCATCTTAACGTCCCATTTGCTCGTCCATCGCAGGCTTGATTATCCCAAGAACCAGTTCCCCCCTGCGCCTGGGCAGCCGACGCATGCTCTCATTTCCCAGCTCTTGCGGCGCTCTTACACGGACCTTGAACCGCGGCGCCGTCGTATCGCCTGCAATGCGTACGCGAACTCGACGCTTCCGCGGTGATTGAGGTGTTATGTGTGTATAGGCGACATCTGCTCTGCAATCGTGTCGATCTGCGACTTCGTGGACGTCTATGGTAGCGCTCGTGTCGTCGGCGGTGTCCACATCTTCGAAATCTTGTTCTACGGGCATGTCGTCCACCCGGATCTTCCTTAGTGGCCATGTGATGCCGAAGTCGCCTTCATATATGAACTCGTATTGCACATCTGCTTCGGTTTGCGCATCGCCATCATCCCAATCGGCACTGAATGTGTGAAGGGGTAGTCTCTCGTCTCCGCCCTGCGCAAAGTCGACATCTTTCAGTAATGCCGCGATTGCGCGTGGACTGAGTGTAGCGGAGATGTGTTGTTTGGTGGGGGCTTTTGAAGTCACCTGTGCTTTTATAGTCGAATTTGGAGCTGGAACTGGGTTTAGAGACTGTACGGACATGTGCCTGATGGGCGGTGAGTCGTCCTCGGTCGGCAAGGTCTCAGGCTCCAGTGCTTGTAGCTGATAGGAGCCATCTAATGAAGGATCTGATTCTTCATTACGCTTTGTGGGTCTGGGAGAGCAGACTGTCAAGAGTGCGCGGAAGCATGACATAGTGGGATGAGCAAGGCTCAACAGTTAACAGTTGTAGGTTGGAGGGCATGAAGGGTAACGTCAAGACAATGTGCTGGAGCTCGATTATGACGGAGAATGCAGAATATCAAGGCAGATCTGATATGTGCTTAGTCCAGGGTGAGGAACAAATTTGCCGCGTGTAGATATTGTGGAAACGTTGGCTACATTGTTACCATGGTTGAGATATCAAATGGTTACGATCCGGTCGGGACCCTTAACCACAAGTGTACTGCACCATACACTGCTTGCTATGAACACAGGAAGTAATGTCAGCGTCACGCCCACGCCAATTCAATCACCTACTCAACTCCGGCCGGCCAATTCCCATCACTAGTCTTCGCCCTTGGTTGTATCATGAAGTATGTGACTTCGTGAGTATAGCCAATAATTCGTGTCTTCGTCCCGCTAGTGGCCTCTAGCCTCGAGCTTCACGCACAGTACCTTGTATCGTGAGTAACCTATCTCCGGGTACTTTCGTCGGCGCGGCACATCCTGCCACTCTAGGCCTGGTTCGATGCTAAGGAACATGGTGGGCATGAAGGCAAGCCAGCCTTTGTTGCTGTATACTCAACTCTGATGAAACATGATCACTCAGCTGCTACCGGTACTCGTATGCATCGGCATCGACGGAGTATGGGCCATACCAGACCCTGGCGTGCTGCTACTGGGGCCTTGTCGCTTCTTTTCTTTCTTCGCCCATCGCACTGCAAAGTTTTTAGTAGCGTTCAGCACTTTGTGACAAGGACACTTACACCCGCACGCATTACACAGCGTCTTCGGACCACTAGGCCCTTTGCGCCATTCGGGTGAGTCGAGAGTGCCACAGTCGGTACACACATACTCGTCCGCGATCTTGAGTTTCTTCTTTTTGTCGGATGACCCGCGCCCGTCTCGGTCCGCCGAGATTTGTATGCCAGCATCGCCACGTATGAGGTTCGGACTTGCGTCACCAGTGCTGATACCTTGTGAGCGCTCGCCATCTCGGTAGCGCAGTCCGGTGAGCATTTCAATCGTCTCCAGATGGTTTGCGCCTTCATATCTAGCCATCTTGTCGTTGATACTGTCTTGCTTTGTTGCAGCTAGTGCCTCGTCGAGATTCTGCCGCGTAAGCGCAGTATTTGATATTACAGGCTTGGCTGGCGGCGGCATTTGCGCGTATGATGCAGCATCACTCGGCGCGATGCTCTGGGTGGGTTGTGTCGGTGTTTCCGACTGGGACGCGCCTTCCGTCTTCCTTGTCCATTCATCATTCTCGTCCTGCTCCTCGCGCTTAAGCTCGGCTATTCGCTTGGTCAGCCGCTCGTTTTCTATTTTGTGTTCGAGGAAGGAGTCGAGGAGGGCGGCATTCTTGGTCGGATATGGACGCGCCATGAGGAAGAAGCCGCGGCAGTTGAGCGCATTTGGCGGCGCAAAAGAGCTGGAGTCGCTGCTCAGATGTGGGTGGCCGTGGGATTCGAAAATGATACACGAGTCGTCGATCTTGCGGAAGCGGTAGAAGAACCGCAGCGGGTTTCCAGACGCTATCGACTCGTTGAACTCTTTGACGAATATGCCAATATCGTCGGGATGGATGAAATCGTTGATGAAGCGACCCGTCAGCTGTGAAGGGTCCCAGCCGGTCAGCGCCTTGCACGACGGCGACATGTACAGTATTCTGCCGTCAGGCGTCAATATGTGCAGCAGATCACGCAGCTCCTCCAGCACGCGCTGCGACCAGTTCCGCCGTTTGGTGAACTCGGTCAGGGTGCTGCCAGACGGGTTCATACTGGGCGCACCGAACCCTGTAGGCAGTGGCCCAGCACCCGCGCCCGACAGACTGATCTCCTGGGCCATGGAGTACCCACCCGCATCGCTGGCAGTGCTACTGGCAGCTACATTGGACTGCATCTGGTTCGGAAAGGCTGCGAAGCCAGCGGCATTGTTCGCGTCAGCACCGTCGAGCGACAGGTCCATGTCCATGTCCATGTTCATCATCGGCATGCTGCTGAGGTCGAGTTGTTGTTGCGTTGGCAGGCCATTCAGGCCCATCTACATTCACCGATTCTCAATACGTGGGGACGACCCTGGTCGGATGTGGGGGTACGAACCTCTCCTTGGTACATGGCCATGGCGACGGCTGGGTTATTCCGCGGCGTCGGAAAGAGACACCATGGGAATCTCGACGTCGATATGCAGAAGCGGTGGGGTGAGCAGTGTACAAGCACGGCATAAAGAACCGATCAAGAAACCGATCAGAACTCTGCAAGGGCATGTGATTGGCAATGCGGGAGCCAGCAAGCGTAATGACGCCGTGTCGCATGCTTCCGCCTGCCATTTTGCCCTGCGCCTTGCTGCTTTGGCCTGCCAGCTGACTCAGCCCCGCTCACGTGACAGCGTGCCGCAATTCGCGTCGCACCTGTTAGGCCGCCGCGTCGCCTGCTTCCGAACAGCCTCCATCAACTGATCCGCCCCACAACTTGACTGCACGCTCAATCAACCACATCACACCCACCGCGAGCAGCGGCGACCGATCACCATGTCGAGAATCGATCGGTTGATGATCCAGGGCATCCGCTCCTTCGGTCCAGAGCGCGGAGAAACGATCAAATTCGACCCACCACTTACCCTTATTGTCGGCTGGAATGGCTCCGGCAAGACAACTATCATTGAGTGCCTGCGGTATGCCACCACCGGTGATTTGCCACCACACAGTAAGACCGGTGGCGCCTTCCTCCATGACCCTAAACTTCAAGACGAGAAGGAGATCATGGCGCAGGTCAAGCTCTCCTTTCGGTCCACATCCGGCGTGCGCATGGTCGCCACGCGAAGTATGCAGGTTACGGTCAAGAAGACTGGTAGAAGTCAAAAGACGCTGGAGGGCTCGCTCCTCATGAAGAAGGACACCGAGAACCACTCCATATCGACCCGTGTTGCCGAATTGGACCAGATCATCCCACAGTATCTCGGTGTTCCCAAGGCCATCCTGGACAACGTAATATTCTGCCATCAAGAAGACAGCACGTGGCCCCTGAGCGACGCCACGACCCTCAAAAAGAAGTTTGACGAGATCTTCGAGGCTATGAAGTACACCAAGGCCATCGACAACATCAAGATGATCCGGAAGAATCGCAACATCCAACTTGGTCAGCTGAAAATTATCGAAGGCCATGCCAAGGAGGACAAGAGCCGTGCGTTCAAAAGTCAAACCCGGCAAGCTGAGCTCTATGATGCGATCGAAACGCTTCGAAAAGAATACGTGGTCATTGACGAAGAAGTCACAGAGGCCCAGGAAAAAGCTCGCGAGGCGTATGACCACTCTGTTCGGTATTCTCGGATCGTCAATGATCTTGAGTTCAAACGGACCACGTTTGATGCCAACAAACAGAGCGTTGCAGCGCTCGAGGATAATCTGACGCACATGGCTGAGTCAGATGACGAGCTCCAGTCAATGCTTGATCAGTACAAGCAGCGCGTCGAGACCTATGCTACGCAAAACGACGAGCACCGACATGAGTATGCGGATCTCAAAGACGCTCTAGAGGTGACGCGCGAGTCCCTCGGCGTGAAACAGAGCGAGATCGGAAAATATGAAGCTCAGAAGGAGCAGTACGATCGCCAACTTGTGCAGCGCGAGACTCTGATTAAAGAGGCTGCGAAGCGTCATGACATTCGCGGTTATGATTATGATATCACGGACAAGCAAGTTGCGGACTTTAAGCAAATCCTCAGTAAAATGTCTCGAGATCAGAACCGAGCGCTTGAGCGGGCGCGGCAAGAGTCGCAAAAGGACTTGAAGGAAGCTCAAGACGATCTCAACCAGCTCAATACTCGCAAGTCGGGTGCTTCGCAGTCCAAAGAGTCGGCAAGGTCACAGATCGCCAACAATGACAAGCGTATCTCGGACTTGCAGAAGGCCATGGTTCAGATCAAGGCGGACGAAGGAAGCGAGGTCGTTTTGCAGGACAAGAAGCGTGATACTGAGGAACAGTTGCAGAACGCGTCGGCGGCATCATCGTCCGAGCGTTATGAGGAGAGAGTACAAGAGGCTTCCAACAACATGCGCACGCTGGAAGACAAGAAGGAGCGGCTAACAAACGAGCTTGGCGAAGCCACAAAGCAGGCCAAAGAATCTGCTTCTATCGACTATGCTCGCAACGAGTTGCAATCTGCCCAACACAGTCTCACGACGATGAAGAAGGTACACAACGAGCGCATCTCGGAGCTTGTTGATTCAGATTGGGACCCAGCTACACTTGAGACCTCGTACCAGCAAACACTTTCCGAAAAGGCTAGCAAGGTGAAGGAGGCGACCTCACGCCGGGACATCTCTCAGTCCAAGCTCGACAAGATCAACTTCCAGTTGTCCAGCCTGGAGTCGCAACTGAAGAAGAAGCGCTCTGAGCTGCGGCAGTATGAGCAAACCGTGACGAAAGCAATTCAGAGGGACGACATCTCTGACTTCAATGAAACCCTTGAACAGCTTGAAGCTGACTACGAAGGAGTCTCCACTGACGCTGCGAAGTTCGCAGCGAATGCGGAGTACATGCGCTCATGTCTAGAGTCTGCTCGCAAACACAACGTATGCCGTCTTTGTGAGCGAGAACTACATGACGACCGGTCACAAAAGTTCACCATCGAGGGCTTTTACAGCAAGTTGGAGTCGATCATTGCGAAAGCAGAGAGCGCCATGAAGGGTGAAAACCCAGAAGAGCTTCTCGAGGAGCTTGAGCAGGCTCGAAATGCGAAGCCCAGCTATGAGCTTGCACTTCGTCTACGCGACACCGAAATTCCCGCCCTACAGATCGATATGTCAAAATTGACATCAGAACGTGAGAATGTCAACAAGCAGCTTGAGGATCAAGACAGCATCGTGCATGAACTTGAGGCCGAGCGCCAAGAGGTAGAATCCATGTCGAAGGAGGTCCAGAGCATCGTCGGCTATTACAACAAGGTCCACGAGCTTGAGGTCCAGATCAAGGACCTCGCTCAGAAACAGAAGACAGCTGGCTTGTCGCGCGGCATAGATGCCGTTCAGAGCGACTTGAAGACCATCACGGACGACAGCCGCAATGCTCGCAACGTGCTTGAACAGCTCACCGCAGCCCGAGACAAGTCCCGTAACCATATCACGAGCCTTGAACTTAGCGTCCGTGACATCAATGCCGAGCTGAACAACGCCCAGTCGAAGCTGAAGGAGAAGCGAGCACTAGGCGCTCGCATCGAAGAGTTCAAGACGGAGAACAACAAGCAACGCGAGTTGATTCGTGGCTATGACAAGGACATCGAGGGTCTGGTTCCGGAGATTGAACAGGCGCAGTACAAGTACGACGACATCAACCGCCGTGGCAACGAGCGCGTCCAGCGTGCACACGACGAGGCTTCCAAACTTTCGGACAGCTTGCGTCAGCTCAGCCAAGCCGACGAAGAGATCACGGCATACATCCAGCGCGGTGGGCCTGAACAGCTTGCTCGCACGCACCGCGAGATTGAGAATCTCCAAGGTGATCTGGCCCGGGTCGAGTCGGAAATGATGGACGTAATGCGCAAGATCAAGAAGATCGAGGATAGTGTCCGCGACGTTGAGATGACCAAGCGTTCCATCAGTGACAACCTCCGCTACCGCAAAGCCAAGCGGTCTCTCGAGACCCTTCAAGCCGACATCGAGAAGCTTGAAGCCCACGGCGCCGAGCGCGATCAAGCCCACTATACCCGCGAAGCCAAGCACTGGGACGACCAATACCACTCGCTCAACACCACCAAAACCAGCATCGAGCGCGACATGAAGAACAAAGATGACCAACTCACCGAGCTTATGAAAGAGTACGAAGACATCTACCAAAACGCCGACCACCAGTACAAAGAAGCCCACCTCAAAGTCGAAACCACCAAAGCCGCAATCGAAGATCTGGGCCGCTACGCCGGCGCCCTGGACAAAGCAATCATGCAATACCACACGCTCAAAATGGAGGAAATCAACCGCATCATCGCCGAGCTCTGGACAAACGCCTACCAGGGCACCGATGTCGACACCATCCGCATCGCCTCGGACTCCGACGGCAAGGGCAACCGCCAATACAACTACCGCGTCGTCATGTCCAAGCAAGACACAGAAATGGACATGCGCGGGCGCTGCAGTGCGGGCCAGAAAGTCCTCGCGTGCCTCGTCATCCGCCTCGCGCTGGCCGAATGCTTCGGCACGAATTGCGGCCTGATCGCGCTCGACGAACCCACCACCAACCTCGATCAGCAGAACATCAAGGGTCTGGCGGAGAGTCTGAGCCAGATCATCGATATGAGGCGGAAGCAGAGTAATTTCCAACTCGTGGTGATTACGCATGACGAGACGTTTCTGAGCGCGATGAATTGCTCCGAGTATGCGGATCATTACTTTAGGGTGAGTCGGGATGTGCGGCAGGAGAGTAAGATTGAGCAGCAGGATATTCATGAGGTGAGTTAGATGTGGGGGAGGGAGATGTGAGAGCGATTTTTTCAAACATGGAGTTTCATGAATGAATGTATGCATAGCACCGGAGTTTAATGCATCGTATTTCCTTGTATGTACAATGAAACAACATATTCTCTGCCACCCATCAGCTCCCTTACACAAATCCCCCACTCCCTAATAACACCACAAACGTCGCCTTCCCCCTCGCCCTCCCCTCGCCCGCGCTCTGCACATGTCCCAAATACGCCCCCAACTCCTCATCATCCCCCACATCCACCAGCACCTCCCTCTCCCCGCCCTCCCTCCGATACATTACCAGCCCTTCGAGCTTCAACACCGCACACCCGGGATGTTCGCGCGCCGCCAACTGGCGAATCTCGGCGACCGAGACGTGGTGCAGGATCGAGAGCCAGACGGTTTTAGACGGGAGGGGCGTGCTGGAGTGAGGGTGGAGGCGGAAATAAATGGGCAGAGGAAGGGAGGAGTGAGAGGCGGGGAAGTATGTTTGGTCGTATGTGTTCTGGGCCGATCGTTGGTCCTGGTCCTGGTACTGGTACTGGTATGTGGGTGTGGGAAGGATAGAGGCGTCGCTTGCGGCGAGGAGAAGGCTGGGGTCGATTTGCAGGTCCGCTGCGGAGGCGAGGGCGGTCATGCTATCGTAGGTGGTTTGGCTTGTAGGTTGGGCATCGGTGGGTTGGCTTCTGCTGCGCGTGGGCATGACTGGCTTTGCGGGACCGGGACCGGGGCCCTGGTGGACTTGTTTCTTCTTGCTTGGGTCTTTGATGGTCTTCTCTTGTTGTTGTCTCTTCATTATGTCCCTCGCTAAGACTTCGATTGCTCGCAACTTTTGCTGATGTTCGGGGTCGGCTTCGCCGCCGGCTAGTGCTGCCCTCAAGAGGTCGGACTCGTTCACCCAGGCTGTCTTCAGATCTGCCCAGTGCTGTTCGCCTGCTTCGTGTTTGTTGGTGAAGTGGTCTGCTTTGAGCTTCGCAGCGAATTCGCTTCGGACGTGGCGTGTCTTCTCGGGGTTCAGGCAGAGAATGTTCTTTACGTCGGCTAGGGTCATACGCGAGTCCATTGTCCGGAGGCGCTTCGTGACATCCATGCATATCACATCCAGCGACAACGCTCGCTGGCCCTTGGGACGAAACAAGGCATCGATGCTGGAGAGCACATCTGGCTCTTGCTGGAAGACACTGGTCAAGTGCTCGTTCTCATCGATGAGCTGCCGTACGATTTCCGCCCACTTTTGAGGCCCAGCAATCGTCTTCTTGATGACATGGTGATCTTTACATATCTGCAAGAAGCGTTCGCGAACTTGGCGATACATGTCGTTGTCCAGCCCCAGGTATGCTTTGGCCTCGTCTATGGTCGTTTCGGATGGGAAGCGTGGAGGCTCGCCGGGCGCGTCTGCAGGTAGTCCTGCCCAGCCTCGGGTTCGTCGTCGTCGCTTCCGTGTCCGCCACTTTTCATCGCTCTCGTTTTGCAATTGTTCCAGTCGCAGCTGTTTGCGCATCATGTCTTCCGCCGAAAGTGGTGTAACATCCTCTTCTTGAAGATCGTTCTGTCTATTGGTACCATCCGCGACTTGTGTTGGCTCTCTAACATCTTGTTCTTCGGCTTGCGGCTCATCATCGCTTTCCTCGCTCGAAGACTCCTCAGCCAGTATCGCGTTCCCAAGCTGATTGATGAGCCCACGTCCTGGCACGATTTTCGGTGTCTTCTTCCTCGATGTCTTCTTTACGCCACTATCTGCGCTTCGCTTCCTCTTTGGCCTAGGAGCGCTTTCTCGTAGCAGAAGCTTGAGTCTGAGTCTGAGTCGTATCAACTCGCGGTCGTTGATGGAGTAGCCTTCATTCTGCAAGGTATCCACCATGTCCCTTTGGGAATAGTTTTCTTCCCATAATTCGCGTAGACGGGCGACGAGGGCGGGGTTTCTGTGTGCCGGGTTCTGCTTGCTGGGAAAGTCCCATCGCTTTTACGGTCAGTGAGCAATTGCTGTGGCATCTGATGGGTGAACGTGATTCTTACTTTGAACTGCGTCTGGAACGCTCGTTTACTGAAGTGTCATTGTTAGCATCGTGCATCGTAGTGAAGGGCGCCATCATGTTCACTCCCAAAATATACGGTAATCCATAAATGCGTTCGCGCAGTGACGTACCTCGGCGTGAAGCCTCGTGCGTCCCAGTGTGCGATGACCTCATCTAAGCTTTTCTTCTCCTCCACGTACAGTCTGTAGCACTCGGCCTCCTTGTCGTCCCAGTTGTACACCATCCCGGCGCTTTAGGCCCTAAGCATCCGTCTTGGTGGAGTTGCGCAAGTGGTTCGTGACGGCGACGCGCCATTGCGTGACGTGTTGAGTCGCCCGCCATAGCGCCAAGACGTGCCTCGGCTGCAACTACTCCGAAGGTGAAGCCGGAACAGGTCACGCTTCCAGCCCTCTTCACCACGCAAGAAGCCTAAGTCGGCGCAATTTCTCGCCATGTCTGTATCTACGACGGCCAGACTTTTGCCTGCGGCTATAGACCGCTGCTCTTATCTCTGTAGCGGCTGCACTTGTTCACAACCACCCTGAACCCCACACCCCGCAATTACCCCAACTTACCATCTGAACACACTCCGGACCATGTGGAGAAGACCCAGCGTGTCGGCGGCCGCTCCGCAGCTCCTCGTGGGCAAGTCCATGGCCATTACAGGCGGCGTGACTGGCATTGGACGCGCAATTGCCATTGGCTATCTCACTCAGGGCGCCAATGTTGCTGTCAACCACTTCGGAGACGCCAAATCATCCGAGCAATTCAAGACACTTTTTGAAGAAGCTTCTCAGAGCTTGGGTGGAAAAGAAGAGGCGCAGAAACGTTTGATCGAAGTCCCGGGCGATGTGGGAAATCCTGACACGGGCAAGAAGCTCATTGCTGCCGTCGTGGAGAAGTGGGGACGATTGGATGTAGTCGTGAGCAATGCTGGAATCTGCGAGTTTAGAGAGTTTCTGGAGTAAGTCGAACTGATCCCCAAAGGTTTACCGTAGCTGACATAAATCTCTCCTTAGAATCACACCAGACCTGTGGAACCAAACCCTCACCACCAACCTGACAGGCGCATACAACACCGTCCACGCAGCCGCGACCCAAATGTCCAAACAATCACCCCCCGGTGGCTCTATAATTGGAATCTCCTCGATTTCCGCTCTCGTTGGTGGGGCACAGCAAGCACATTACACTCCAACGAAGGCTGGCATTACATCGCTCATGCAATCGGGAGCTTGTGCACTGGGCAAATACAACATCAGATGCAATGCATTGCTTCCTGGCACAATCAAGACACAGTTGAATGAGAAGGATCTGGAAGACGATACCAAGAGGAAGTACATGGAAGGCAGGATACCGTTGGGTAGGACGGGCGTGCCGGCCGACCTTGCTGGGCCGGCCATATTCTTGGGCAGTGATTTGTCGAGTTATGTCACTGGAGCACAATTGCTCGTTGACGGAGGATTGTTCGTAAACCTACAGTAGAGAATAGGAGATAGAGTCCATTCTGAGTCCATACTGCATGCTTTCCATGCCCATGGACGAGGTCGTATCCTACGACCGAATCTCCATTATACGATCTGCTGTACTATAAATTCTCCGTCGAACCTGCCAGCAGGCCAATCACCATCTCGGCCCTACCTCCCCCGCACCCCGAACACCAACCCTCCACCCGCATCCGAACTGCAATCCAGCAGTAGACCGCAACACTTTGGAATCAGAACAACCTTTCAATCCCAAAAAGAATTCAATCAAATACTTTGCAATCATGCCGCCCCAAAAAATCCTAGACTCCCACATCCATCTCTGGCCCTCCACATCCACCACGTCCTCCGCCCACGCATGGATGAAACCAGGCCACTTCCTCGCCAAACGCCACGGAATAACCGACTATCTCGCCGTCGCAGACGACAGCGTGAAAGGCTTCGTGTACGTCGAGACGGACCGGTACTTACCCTCTTCGACACCAGATTTCGACACCGCCGGTAGCGATGTAAAAGAGAAGCTGTCGCAGTGGGCGCACGAACCACTCTCCGAAGTGAAATTCCTGAAGAGAATCGCCGAGGGAAAGACGGAGGATGGGGATGGCGGTGATGGAGCGGGGAGGATGAAGGGCTGTGTACTCTGGGCGCCATTCCATCTCCCTGCCCCCGTTTTCTCGGCTTACATGCACGTCTTGGAAGGGATTGCTGGACCTGCTCTACTCGATGGCAAAATCGTCGGGTTTAGATACCTCCTCCAAGGCAAAGAAGCGGGCGAGGTGGGCAAGATAGTCGGCAGCGAAGCATGGCTAGCTAACATCCTCTCGCTCGATAAAGGGCGGGGAGGTAAGGGGTGGACGTTCGATGTCGGCGTGGATATCAACCGCGATGGGGAAGAGGGACTCGTGGCGGTTGGGGAGATGATCAAGGAAGTCAGGAGGAGGGGAGGCGGGGTGAGGTTTGTTTTGAGTGAGTATCTTGATCTATTCTGCTCTTGGCCATGGTAAGAGAGGTTGCTGATACGCGTGCTTAGATCATTTATGCAAACCCCCGCTGTCGAAGTCGACGCCGTCAAAGACGTGGGTTGATGCTCTTAAAGCCTTCAAGCTCGATCAGAACGTCTACATGAAATTGTCGGGCGCGTTGAATGAGTTCGACGCCACGCCAAACACTACTGGTGAGATCGTAAAGGCGCTGGAACCCTACTTGGATGTTGTCTTTGAGTGCTTCCCCGGCCGCGTTATGTTCGGGAGCGACTGGCCGGTGTGCAACGTTGGTGGGCCGAAGGGGGAGAAGGGGAATTGGGGGTTTTGGAGGGATGTTGTTGAGAAGGTTATGAATGAGAGGGGGACGAGCGAGGAGGATAGAGAGGGGATTTGGTGGAGGAATGGGAGCAGGGCTTATGGGGTTGAGATTTGAGGTTCAAGAGGGTAAGGTGATGGATGAGAGAGCGAGTTAGATTTGGTGAAGGAGGTTTTGTAATGACATGATATTGAATGAAAGACAAGAACGTATTATGATTCTCTCTTCTCTCAAATGTGTGCTCAAGAGATCAATTTACGTCGCTCATGTCATGTGCGAAAACTGTCTTTGCCGCTTTTTGCTTTCCATATCTCGTAACCTGCTGTGAGCTTCACAGCCTAGGAGCCTTAAGCGCAAAGCAACTCGTCGCAGTGCAGAAATTCAACTTCCAGAAACAATAGAGAAAGATCAGTAAACAAACCTTACCTCACGACAAAAAAAGCTAGTCAACAAAATAGTGTACCAAACATGGCCAGTGGCGATTGGCGGCTCACTTTGCCGAACGTACCACACGCCCTTCCATCTCACAATCTCAGTGACCCATCCAGCTCAACCTCCTCTGATCTCGCGACACCACCATCTCAAATATCGGTACACTAAACCGCCGAATCTCACTTCGGTCGTAGCGCGCGATCCTACCCGTCTCCTCACCCTAAAATCACGCCTGGGCATTCTTCACACGCACACGACACCAAAACCAAGGCCCGATCGCAGCGCGCCTTACTAGTCAAGCCATACATTAAACCCATTACTGCATGACATTGCTCGCGACTGGGTCCAGGGTACTTGTGTGAAGGCCAAGATTGCCGGGCGTTCGCATCGACGTCGAGCTCGGTGCTACTGGCCGACGCTAGCGGACGGGATGCTGCGAGACACAGGTTGTGAGGGGGCCGGGGAGTGCAGCGCGGAAAGGTGTGATGCCGGATATGGGGGCGTCTTGGTTTGGAAAGGAAAGGTAGACGATATGCAAGTTGTGTTGGAGATGTGGGTTGTACTCATCGAGATCGTTGCGTGGGTTGTGTGTGTGTTTCTGTTCTTAGTGTGAGTTTTTCCGGAAATTTCCGAATACTACCTTGAGATTTTTTATGGGGATGGGATGGATGCTGGGTTTGCTGCTATCTTGACTTATACGTGGCCAGTGTTATACGTGATACGATGCGCGGATGGGATGCTGGAACTTGGAGGTGGATAGCCGGTGGTTCGAGACTCATGCTGCGCGTCGTATGAGTCGGACTGGTGTCGTCATCACAAAGCCCGACCAAGGTGCAGACATGGGATTGACCTGTGGACATGATGTGAGACTGCAGAGCCGCATACATCCATGCGACGTCTCACGTGACTCCTGGTAAAGTTTTTCGCACCTCCGCACTGTCGATCCGACGATGGCGCAACGGAAGAGAAAACAGCGCATCTGGGTACGGAGTTCCCGTTCACATTCAGATCTCGGCGGCACGGATCGAAGAGGGCGGCCTACTTCAAGGTTAAACCCTCTTTATGTTGACATTGGCGCTGAACTCAATCTCAGATTTATTTCACACTATTAATTCCGCCTTATTTAGGCGCACGTGAGTGACGTGAGTGGTGATTAGAATGCAACTTTTTCGGGAAGGGCGACATGGAAAAGTCGGGTCTGGAAGTTGACAGATGTGCACTTCGGCAAGATGTCCGGTTCGGATCTCGCGCTCGCTCGTATTAGAGGCGCAGATCGTTTTGGATCGGAAAACTTGGCGTGTGGGGTGGTGTTGGTCAACGGTTTATGGGCTTTTAGTTCCAGAGGCGGAGCTCTAGTCGTTGCATGTTGAGTGCTTTGGTGCTTTAGGTGGGTTTGCACTGTAGGAGAATTTGGAAGATCTTTTTTTCCTGGTTGGTGGGGGGGACTCAGCTGCCGTGTTTGTTTCGACTTGTGGAGACGTCGCTGGCTAGCAGCTTGTTCTTGGAGGCATGTCATGCCATGGGAGTACGCTGCAGAGGTCGAATCCACATGCTGTGGCACGCCTGAAGATAATGCACCATTTACTGTCAGATACTGCATCGGAGTGCCAATCTGGTTACGTATGCTACGAGTCTCGCAACTTTGCAAATGCGGCACGGACGGGGCATGTTCCTCCAGTGAGGCATCTGATCGGTGAACCTGCTCGCAGAGTACAACTTTGCCGGGAGTTGGTCTTGCGCGTGAAGCGAGACGTGCAGAGTTTTCGCTCGTCGAGATCCCAATTGAATGGTAGCCATACATAAGCCCTCATGCAGTCGCGAGTTGTACATGAAGATAGCCATGGGTACATGTATGTCATGCGAAAGAGGCTCCTCTGCATGTTGGATTCGTCACAACAGCGTGGGTCACCGCAGAGCCACACAAGGTCTGTGTGTATGCATTGCGCCTCCTTGCAGATAGAATGGAGCAGCAACTGGGTCGTCTTGTTGACTGGTCTTGTCCCGCCTTACTCGCCATAGGATTGTGGCGTGACTAGCGTCTGCACCTGAGCGTCTTTGGCAAGCCTAATCGGACAGGTACCAATGAGTACATCTCGTTTCTCCAAAGGCACGCAAGGGTCGAATTACAGGTCTGCGTCCATATTGTCTTGCATGAAGGTGCATCGGGGATCCGGGCCACCAAAGTTGTTGCATAAGGGCCGCCGTCTCCATTTTCAAGTTAATGACATTCTGGAGACCATGCAATCATGGCATTCCTGTTGCGAGCTCTGCGCGTGCACAAATTGTAAGCAGCTAGCTGTGATGGGACGTGGAGAGCAGGACTGGCGTTGCGCCGCGTTCGGCGCCAGTTTTAGCGCAGAGGCATGATGAAGGGCACACAGACCTGCGGGACGGGATGACGGGCATAAGCTTTGCGCAAAGGGTCTCGTTTCCTTACTCGCGTTACACGCAAGAAAATCCGGGGCTCTCGTGCTGTCATCCAAGGTTGAGCAGTTGCTGTGCGTGGGTGACTCGGTGCGTGGTGACATCGAAAGGCAGGGGAAAAAAATTGTCACGATGCACGATGATGAATGATGAGGTCCGGCGAAACAAGAGTGCATGAGGAGACCGGCGCTGCTTGAGCCCCAACTACTGTAAGACCCGCAGGATGCAGGCCCGCTTGACTGTTGGGTGGAGGACGACTTTCGGACGCGATCGGTATTGACCTCTCAGCGCCATCGGAATCTGCCTGGAGGCGTCCAGTAGCTCAAAAGTGCGCCCTCGCCATCTCAAAGCGCGCTGCAGCTGATGCTTGACGCTGCAAGCATCTTTTGCAGCATCAACGGCGTAGGCGAGGAAGCCATGGTCAGGAATAGCCCTGCGATGGCTTACGGTAGTTGTGACTTTCATAATTCTCCGCTATTGACAGTGCAAGCGATGGCTGACAGTGGAGACATGCCCGTGAGGGGTCGCTTGAGCCCATTGCGAGCGAGCCGAGAGGTACCTAGGTACCTACCTCACCCACCTGCCGTCCTGGAATGGTTTATCGGGAATATTTCCCTGTCGGACTTTGTAGCGCCAATATGGCTTGATAGCATGCCGTAAGTTTACCTCCCATATTCCGACACTTTTGGGAGATCTCCAGAGCACCAGCACGGTTCGAGACCCGGTGTCTCACCTGATACAGCAGTGGAGACTATTTGGGCACCTTGTAAATGGCCTTTTTCTTCACACGAGACCCTGCAACGCGCCAAGTTATCCCGTCAACGCTCGCGACGTGTTGCCGAACATGGACCCCAATCGTCGACCGCGGCACAAAGCTTGCGCAAGGATGCCGTGGGCGATGCCGCTGAAGCGGGTGATGGTTCGCGCTACGTGGCAGTCCGTGCAGCGTGGGTCGAGCATCAGGAGCGGCTGGAGAGGATGAGGTTGCAATGTTTTGAGATTGGCACACGAAGTTTGAATTAGGTTTGTGCTGCTGTGTCCATTCGTGCGACTCTAAGCCGAACATGCGACGTTGCACAAAAGTGCCAGGTCGAGCGACGACAGCCGGAAGCGAGGTGCTACTGCTGACATGTCGCATCGACCTTTTGCGTAGACTACATGGGCGGGATGCCTTCAAGCCTCCAATTGGTGGTAAGGTTGCAATTTTTGCATCAACAATGAGCCTGAACACCGAAAACGCCGATCCAAACCGTCCCATTTTGATGACCCGGGAGCTAGCCCAAATGGTGCTCCATGATGGACGAAGGGAATAAAGGAGTCAGACACTCTGTCTAAGTGCTGATGAAGTTGCAGGCTGTCGTTAACCGTCTAACATTACTGCCACCAAGACGTGGCCGAGGCCGAAATGCGCTAACAGTAGAGGAAAATCGCGTTCAACTCAAAGTGGAATCTTAGTGGATGGTATGCAAAAACCTCTCTCGCGGAGCATACGCTGCTGGCCGGGAACAGGCGTCAACGGAGGAGTGATTGTCGCCATCGGCGGGATCGGCAGCATTCTGATGTTATCATCGGCATCTGCGCCTTCGCGAGTACCCCATGTTGTCTGGTGTCTAGTCAGCTTTCTGGCTGCGAGCCTAAGAGTGCGGGGCTGGCACATACCTCCGTGACCGTGAAGCAGCCGTAGAGCTTGATCAGGTTGTGGAAATACCCAAACAGCACCGAGACTGGGATGAATCGGACATCGCCCGGGTTCCTCAACAAATGTGGGACTAGCTTGATGGTCTTTGCAAAGACGAAGTGCGCGAGGAACAGCGCCCAGAAGACGGAGCGCTGCTGCTTCTCAGCGCGGGGCTGGTGTTCGCCCTCTGCTACGTAGTACCCGGACTCGGAAAGCGCGAAGTAGAATGATGCGAACAGCAGGCAATCGAGCAGAAAGGCCCACTGTGTCAGGGTGGTCTGGAAGACGGCATACAGCGACCATGGGTATTTACTGTGGCGTAGCGAGTCAGCGGATGCAAGAGGACATGTCGGCGAAGTGAGCTGAGAGGGGCAGGCTTGGCACAGGGCAACACCAGATGCGAAAAACTGTGCAGGCAGCGGAGCCACTTACCACCACATTCGGCCTTCGCTCAGACTCGTCAGATTGCTCCTCCAGTTAGAGCGCACCCAGCGTAAGCACTGACGCAAGTACTTGGAGTCGTTCTCGAGCGTCGTCTCCACTTCGCACTCCCGGTGGTTCTGAATCTGGATCTTCCAATCGTGCGAGAATAGCCATCGCGTGATGAAGTTGTCGTCGTCAGCGTTGAGAAAGTGGTCGCTGCCCCAAGTCTCATGCGTGAAGCCGTAGGTAAAGTTGGGGTCTTGCAGAATCTCAGAGCGATATGCCACAGCCCGTCCTGACAGGCACGGCAAGCCGCCGTCGATCCAGTTGCAGGCGGTGCAGTCAAAGTTTCTTCTGACCAAGTAGATGGCACCCAGGAACTCCCAGATGTTGGAGCGGTTCGCGCGACGCAACTGCTGGTTGGTCCCGACACCTCCAACTCGCGAGTCCTCAAAGGGTGCCAGTATCCATTTGGTGAACTTCTCTGGGAGCCACACGTCGTCGTCGAGCAGTAGGGTGATCTTGGTCTCGACCTCCGGAATCGCCCGACACAGCTGGCGACGCTTATTGGCTTGACTCACGGAAAGCACCTGGATCAATTTGGGGTTGCCTAGCTCTTCGACCATTTGATATACACGCTTGACCTTGGAATCCGGTGTCACCAGAAGGAGCTCGTATGGTTCAAGGCGATAGGCGCTTTGGACAGTCTCCTTTAGCTGCTGGAGATCCTCGGCAACGGTCGGGATGATGACAGTCATGTCTTTCGACGTGATGGTAGGATCGTCGATGGGCTGGATGGGCGTATACGTCCAGTTGCTCGCCAGGTTAACCCATAGTCTGACATATCGAAACAAGCTGTGACCACGAGTCAGCGACCATGTCCGGATGGCGGGCGGGAATCAGCAGCAGGAAGCATGGGCAGTGAACGTACAAGAGGGCTACAAATATACAAAACCAACTCCAATTTGGGAACAAGCCAAAGGAAAAGGGAAACATTGCGGCGGCCAACGAGCGTGTAGTACGAAAGGTGAACTACGACAAGTGGAAGTTAAACGAAGATCACATCGAATGGTGGGAGTGTAGAAACCCGCTTGCATCGGGGAAGCAGCGGATGTAATGAGTATTTAAACACATGCTTGCGCGCGGGCTAGGGCGGCGAGGTAATGCTTCGCTTCCCGGGCGCTGTTTAAGCTGCAGGAGTTTCCCTTAGCAGACTTTGGGGTAGTGTGAACCTGGCTGGAGCATGAGGTAGTTGCAAAAATCCAGAGGCGACCAGGGTGTGTACGATTCGGGAATAGCAGATGCGCCCACTGAGCGCAGGCGTCATGTTTGGATCCCGCAGGCCGTTGTATCGCTCGCATAACATGGGCCCCCTGCAAGTAGCGCCTTCAGGGATCGACTGCATCGTGGGTGCGTCGTCGACATGGGGCCTCGTGCAACGCGCCCCGCGGTCGCTCCGATGGATCATGTTGTGCTGCTGAGGGCACGAGACTGCACGCACTGCCCGCTCAGCTCGTGGCGCTACCAAAATGAGACAGACTGGGACGGCGTACAGAGTGGCTCTGCTTGACGCCAGCTATCCGCGCGAAGCAAGCGATATGGGCAGAGGCCGCGCAGACAGCGAACCATGCGGCTGATGATCGATGGGTCAATATATGGCCCCGCTTGGCGGCAGTCCATCTAAGATCACTGGCTCTAGGCCCCAATTGCGCACTCGTCAAGAGTGACATGCACTAGCCGCTGTAAGCGGCACCCATCAAGCGTGGCGTAATGGCGACGATAGGCGCCTGTCTGTTGGCGGCAGGGCTGGCGTCTCCAACCTCGCTCGAGACGTTTACATTGTCCTGGTCCTGGTCCCGACACGGCTAATTGTGGTAGCTGTTACGGCTCTTCGACCCAGCCTGTTGCATGGCATGTGCAGTCAATATGACTATGTTCCAATTGCTGGCCAGCGGGAATTTTTCCCAGGTGCAGCTTGGGTAGATTGAGGACGTATGTGAAGCTTAGCCGAGGGTCCGCAATTGTGGCCTGCAAAGCCCACCTGGTAGTAGTACCGCCGAGCTTGCTCGTGCAACGTATGAAATCCGAACCCGCATCTGTCGCCGGACTCAGTTCGCCTGCCGCTTGCTTGTGCTTGATTGCAATACGCATATGCACCCTGTCTCCGGCCGTCTGCCTGCCCTTGACGGACACATTGCCGTATACAGCGTGGAACAGAGTTGCGTTGCTGTGCCGTCAGGTTCATGATTGACAGCAATCAATTTCGCTGAGCAACCGGGGCCGGTGCTGTGGGAAGATGTACCTGTGCCGGCTGAAGAGGTACATGGTCCGCATCCAGTTTCATTCCTACACCAACCCACCTGCAATGACGGGGGCTATACCTTGTCCTTGCAGATCACAGCTGGCGGCCCGCGGGAGAGACATACGCGCTGCTCTACTATTTGATGGCCCATGTAAGAGCCCTGTAGCTGCATACAGCATGCAATATGAAGAGGGTGTGTGGCGGACGGCTGCCATGCAAGAAATCGAAGCACGTTATGTGGACGCCATCGGCCAGGGCTCCCTGCATACGAATATTTTTTGCACGCTCTTGTTTGTACAACCAACAGCCGCATCAATACTGCACCTATTGCGCACTCAGATACGAGGCTGATCTTAGTAGATTAGGAATGTTGTGCGGTGGAGATCAATACCATGCTGGTACTTGCAGGGCCCCCCACGTTGCCACGCCTCAAAAGCCATATCACCACGCTCCACCGCGCTCCGAATGGACAAAATGAGATAGAAAGAATGTCGCTGTAAGGCTAGTGATGCAACAACGGGTTGCGTCATACGCCCCAGATACGGGAGTGTTTGATCTGCGCAGGTTACGGATCTGTTCCCGCATCCTCGCGAATTCCAGAGACATGCATAGAAGCACGACCGTGGACAACGACAAGTGACATGGGTGTTTGGCTTGAAGTACCTCAACGGTCAGCCCAGAGCTGGCGGCTGCAACGTCCGTCGTCAGGATCCTTACAAAAATCCTTCATACCGGATGCCATTCGCCTCGTTCTACTTGCAGAGTCGTAATACGGCGTGGCTGTAGAATCACTTTTGTTCACTCCTGGCTATTGCAATATCTGTGCCTTGACGCAGACATTACTACCTCCTGCATTAAAGAACGAAGGAGGATCGCCCTCCCTTGTGCGACGAGCAGTGCTCTGTGCACAACGTCTTTTGTGTGGCGAGGTCCTTCTGGTTACACGCCTTCTGGGTAGTTATAGTCTGTCGTCCCTCATATCTGATTAGCTTCACCTCAAAGCGGAGCCGTCCGGGCGCAACATGTCCTCGAACTCACCGCCTCTCTGTGATCGACCACAACAACATTGCGCGGAAGCTGATGGAATGGGAAATTTGTGAGTATGTCTCTGTCCCTTGATGCCATCGGTGTGACAGCTGAGGCTTAACGCTGCAAATCCCTAGCGGGTAATTGTAGCTGCATCGTTGTCAATGGCACTGCTGCGGGTGATCAAAGAAAAGATAACGAACTGCTGCAGGCTATATTGAAGTAGGCCCACTCATTTTCGAGGCGATATATCGTCTCACAATGCAATACTGCTGGTCTATGAAGAGCCTCGGAGGACGCATGGGCGGAGAGATGTGCATTACACCTGCACACTTGGGTATGTGCTGCAGGAACCGTTAAGTGCCAGTGACTCTGGCCCAACATATCAAAGCTGATGGAGAGAGATTCTGGACGTTTCATTCCTGATTTCGAGAGAATTGAACAGGTGGTACTAGAAAGAGTGATCTTTGAAGATATGTGACCCTCTCTGGAAGACCTCAGGGCTGCTGCACGGGTTTTACCACGATTTCCTGTCTCTTTCTTATTTCGTTGTCTGACATTTCGCAGTCGATCATTTCCCGTCGACATTTCAGGGTACTAATCGCTCTGCAAAGGGTTAGTATGCGCATCACAGGTAAAGACCTTTCCTCAGCTGTTCGTGACAGATCTCGCGAGGATGGTCTTAGTTCAAGTTTGCCAGCCTGGTCGCCAGGATACACGTGTCAATCCACATCAAGATTCGGCAGCAAGAGGATTGCCCAACATCCAGGACACAGTTCAATTTCGTTGTCTCGATCTCCGGTTCGCCTGGTGGTTGGCAGTGCCGCTTCAACACCAGCGTACGACATCTGCCGATAAGACAGGGCGAGTCTGTCAGCATGGCGAGCAAAGCTTCCGCGGCCATGGATCGCTGCTTGGGTTGTTAGTACACGCCAGCAATCAGAGTGGTGGGTTGAAGAGGTTGTGTGATGGGTGTTAGTGAGGTTGAGCTCGTGCGCAGCAACCACGATCGACCGCGCCAACCTCTTGGCGTTCCATCAGCTGGCCGTCCCCAACTGTGAGACATCACGTTCGGTACCGATACTTGCAGCCATTTTCAAGGAACAAGCTGACAATCCAGTCGTAAGCAGCATTATTCCGGTTTACCATCGGACGCGACAGCACTGCCAGTGCTTTCCACTGGGACCAGGGTGTGTTGCGGCCGGCAATCCTGGAACCGCGGGGCAACCACCTCGAACTGCTCTAGACATTCTTGGACCCCTCCTCCAATACGACAGGCCTAGCACCAGCTTTCTAGGCCATGGTCCATGAGTTGTGCTCACGTCACAGTCCACAAGTCATCGTTTAGTGTCACCGCAAGCTACGCCATCTCGCAGCTGACGGGGCCCCTCCACACCATCATGTGAAATTCGCTAGTCGCTTCGCTCTATCCCGGACAGGTTCGCAGGATGCTATCCCACACAATGTGGCATCTCGTTCCCGGCCCTCCGCCATTGGCAAGCCCTTGCTTGTTATGCGAGTGCAATCGTACGCATCCTGCAGCTGCGGGCAGTGGGCGAGGTAATAACCGCCATGCTGTTTTAAACGGCAAGCCTATCCGTCTCGACTGATTACAAGTCCCTAACCTGACCGGTGTGACTAGCTACATGCGCCTACACCAAGGAAAGTGTATTCTTCCTTAGTCCCGTTCAGATTTCTTTAACATACGAAAAATCAGTCGTTCTCCATCAAGCAGCGCAGTCATTGAGCTATCGGCTACGGATTCCGAACTTGACTCAACAGCTGATCAAGGTTTTAGTCCGTACCTCAGCCTGGTGGTTAGAGTCAACGCCCTCGGCCATTACTCGTCCAAAACCGATGAACCGCGATCGACGAATCGATACGAAGCCATCCTGGATGTCGTACATATGCCACGCTAATATGGCGCCGCCTCTTTGTCAAGGGTATGATTGGTTCCACCACATTGCCCAAGCTTTTTGGAAGATGAAAGGCTGGATACACGTAAAAGGCGCACATACGAAGTCTGTATGTAGCACATGGTAATGCATTTTTTTCGAAGCTGACATGCCTATTATTGAAACGCCAGGAGGGTTGCACGATCGCCGATGACATGAGATAAGTGGCGGGTGGCAGACACCATTGTGTGAGTCCAAGGCTGTCGAGCTAATCTAGAATGAATTGTAGCCGTCCAGGGTATAGACCTTTACGAGAAACGACAATACAATATTCACACCACCACAACGTTGCGCCCTGACACATCCAAGACATTGGCCGCCTACCTCATAATCAAAATAGACCCTAAAAAAACCTCTTACAGCCTGCTGATAACTACGAATATTGGATGCGACCAGGGTCAGAGTCAAGAATGAACATTTACTACTATACTGATCACAATCCTGACATACATATCTTAGCCTGCAGCGAACTTGCTCCTTTCGCGCAGCGTCTCCCCAAACTTCCACAGCAAAAAGGGGGCTGGCACTCCAAGAGACAACGCGACGAACCCCAATAAGCTGTTCCCCCATCCGAAATCGAGTGCATTGTACATTGCTGGAGCAAACAGCGGGAATCCGAATCCAGCCAATGACCTCAAGAAAATTGCCGCCGCAGTCGCACTGGCAGCATATCTTGTGTAAGAATCGACAAGATAGGTCTGGATGCACTGAAAACTGACTATAGTGCCTGCGCAAAATATACATGCTCCTATGTTCGGCATGATCCAATGTAACTTGGCTTGCGCACTCCATCCGTACCAGAACAAACCAACAGGTACGAGGAGCGAAGCAGGCACCATGATGGGAATACGGAATTCGGGCTTTCCCGCCCCATTGTTTTTCTTTTTGAGGCGACGGTATAGCATGTCGTTGAAAGGAGCGGATATTTGCACTCCCAGGAAGAATCCTACAGCCATGGAAATGTAATTCAGTGAGCCCATACTCGCACTTTGGCCATAGCGGTCCGTCCACAAGAGCGGGAAGGTCGAAAGCATGAGATACATCAGGCCGTATATGAACGCCATGTAGCATGCGAGGACCTGAACAATCGGCTGAGTAAAGAGGAGTTTGAATGGTCTCTTTATGGCCATTTTAAGCGTCGAGAGCAGCGTGCGATCTGCATCATCGTATTCGGTATACAATTCCCTGTTTCCGGTCTCTTCACTGAGCTTATCACGCTTCCATTGCAGAAGCTTAGGTGCGTATGTCTCTTCGAGAAAGAAGAGGCTGAAACACTGCATTACAGCGCTGAAGATCGTAGTGGCATAGAAACACCACCGCCAGGTTGTATCCTGCGAGATGAATCCTCCAAGTATTGGCCCAATTGCCGGCCCCAGAAGTGGTGCGAGACTGTATATCGAGATAGCCCGTCCACGCTGCTCGGGAAAGAAGGTATCACTGATAACTCCCTACAGAGCATTTAGTTTCTGAACCGTTTTGGAACTTTGGAATTTACTTACACCACTGATAGCCAATGGAGCCGAACCGCCAAGGCCACTGAGGAACCGGAATGCCATGAGTTGGCCAGAAGTCTGTGCAAATCCGCAGCCCAGGTTATTCAATAAGTAGAATAAGTTCGACAATTGCAGAATGATGACGCGGCCATATATCTCCGATAACGGCCCCAGAAACAATGGTCCGACCGCATATCCCAGGACAAAGATGGACAGAGGGATTTGAGACATGACCCCCTTGGTCATGCCGAACTCAGCAGATATCGAACTCAGCGCTGGTGCGATCATGGAAGAGGAAATCGGCGACCCCGCACGGTAAAACATGAGACGAATAATGTTACCGCCCATTTTCGCTTCGTTGACCCTGGATTTGATCAGTGATTTGTTACCACGGCCTATGAGCTCGACTTACAGTTTTTTGGATTGTATGGATCGTCATCTGAATCCCATGTTACGAGATTCGCGTCCTTGATCGATACTGACATCCCCTTTTTCTCCAGTGCTGCTGGTTGCGCTTCCACATCATGTTCGTATGGCACACTACCTCTTTTCTCCTCATAAGTGGTTTTCTGCTCGTGTGCTACCTTGAATTTCTCTTCTTCTGCTTCGAGCTTTTCGTCTACGTCGTCGTCGCTACTCGAGCCGCTCGAGCTTTCTAGAATTCGTCGCTCTGTCTCCGTTGTGTGGAACGAGGTTGCATCTGCATCTACATGCGTTCTTTCGCGGTCTCCGTGATGGTACACCGAATGATCGTCTGTGAAGGAGCTCGGAAGTATACGATGCAGCGGTCCATTATCAGATCGTCTCGGTTGTGATTGCGAACAACTTCTTGAACGACCGGTACTATCCATTCCGAAATCAGAAACAAGTGTGTTCAACGCAAAATGAAGTACCGTGATTCCAAGACTGATCAACGGTGAATAGACTAGTAAAGTATTAACTCCGCAGACGTTCAAAGTAAGGCTGGACAAGTTGGGCGGCGTCAATCAGATGGATATCTGTCTGCGGTGTGAATAGAGCTATATATACAGGACATGTGAGGCATTCTAAGCCTGGCGCGGATACAGTACATTGCTCTTCTGCTGCATGGGTCTGGGGAGTATCTCCAGGCCAGATGCAAAGTTTCGCTCTCTCTACGGCGTTGCACTCCCCGGCCTCAAGCATCTTCACGGCGTGATCCCTCCGCAGTGATCTCAAAACATCGCTTGCTCATTATCGGTTCATTGGAGTAGATCATGCACCGGCGGAATGCCGCGGCGAAATGTCGTGCACGCGCCACACACGCGCCACAACAGTCTCACCCACAACAGGTAATCACTCCACAACAGGAAATCACAGTCCACAACAGGACACCATACTCCACATCGCCTTCCTTTCCTGTTCATCCACAACTAAAACTTCTCAAACTGCGACTCTGCTTTCTTGCAGCCGTTTGCGTTCACGAAAATAACGTTCGGCACGATGAACGCGCTGGCCTCCTGCAGGACGCCGTGAAGCTCGTTCCCATCAGCACTTGCCTCATTTTTCGCATGTTGACCTTTTCGCCCATGCAATTTTGCAGACACAGACTTCAGCGATGCATCCCTCCTCTGGTTCTCAATGAGGCTCAATACGAAGCACTGTTCGCTACGGTCCGTCAGCACACCCCAAAATAGGTATCCTGGTTGGGATCTCCTGTCATTGCGCGCCTCGGCCCATGCGTGCACGGCCCACGACTTCAAAGCGACAGCCCTACTATGGCTAGCGATGTTGGAACACTTGGTCACCACATCCCGAAAGTTATATCGAAAATGAACCAGACCGGGCGCGAACTTGCATGGACCAGGATAATCATTTGCACAGCAGTCTGGCTTCGAGTGCATGAAGTCGCTCCGGGCAGAAGCTACTACCGAATCAGGAGATCAATGTGGATCAGCGAGGACTTTGACATCTGGAGCACTGCACAGCTCACGAGCCAGTCAGCAATATGCATTCTTGTTGAGCATTTCCACTTACGACGTCCTGCACTCTGCACCTCATCTCAGCCAACTACATATGCAATGCGATGCGAGCCCTAGACCGGCAGATACAACGCGACGTCGGAATAGCTCGCTCGATTACTCCACCATGGTCGTATACCAAGACCAGACCATGAAGAGAGAATAACACGTCCCCAACTAAGCGAGAAACCGTATTTTTAAAAGCCGACCCGATTTCCTGGAATCGTCTCATCAGACTGACTGGCATTTGCCGCTCAACATTCTCGGTAGAATTGACCCTAGCGCGAATTGCCCCGGAACTATCAAGCCCGACTATCACGGACTCTGTAGCAAAGCTTCGTCTGTGCCTGGAGTTGCACCGCAGACAATACCATGCACGGCAGCCACATGCCTTGGCTGTGAAACGTGCACATGGGCTTCCGTAGCTAGCCAAAATGCGGTCCAGGAAGCGCCGCAACCGCCCGTCACCCCACGATATGTGGTTAATGCGATATCAGACGCTCGTGGTCTCATATTCACAGGATTCCCCATGTGTCTCAGTGATGGCAATCTGCATGCAGCGCACCAACCACTGCATCATATTCATACAGTCTCATCTCAACAGGTCCGGGTCGGCGATACCGATTACAAGGAAACGCAACTCAAACGTCAAAAATCAAAAGCAAGGAAGACTTGCACAAGATGCAGCTGCATGGTCCCTGGAAAGCTGAAAGAGGCATTAAATAGTGGATGCGTACTCTAGCTTGCACAGCACGTTCACCACCTTTACCCGCAACGCTGTACAACACCATCGCCACGCTCTCTTCATGCCGGTCATCTACGCCGACATACTCCCATACATATTTGTCCTACCGCACCTTTTCATCCTCCAGTCGCCCATGCATCTTGACCCAACCAGGTTGAATAGCTGGAACGGCATTGGACGGATTAAAGCGGCGTGTTACACACAGTATATCACTAAAGACTCGGTAGATCCGGGGGAGGTGGTGTAAGTATGGGGTCAGAACGCCCATGTTTCACGGCGTCGAAGTCCTTCGACGTCACAATCTACTCATGTTGTAGACATGGCATGCGAGAGCTGCAGCATCTCAGGAAGGAAATACCATGAGTGGAAAGACCATCTCGATCACCTATCCACGACTTACCAGGAGTTCTCATTGGCCATACTCTCACAGCTAGACTCGACGCTGCGGATCAACCAACACTCCTTCTCCTCGGGCAAATCGGTCATGAATGTGCACTTTCCACCTCGAATCGACTTTCCCCTTCGCTCTACCTTTGCCCGCATACACCCACCTTTCAGTACCTAGCGGCCCATCTCACTACCGACTTTTCCGCAGCCGAGAGGGAGGTAGGCAATACTCTTCATCAACCAGCACTATGCCGCCGCAGAAAAACATTCCCCAACCCCCCTCCGCGGCTGGCAAACGCGATGCTACTCGTCTGGAACTCGAAGCCGACAACAAACCACCACCACACATGAAAGGACTTTCCTATTCGCCAGCACGTAGAAGCCGAGGACAGATGACCACGTAGCACATTCCTGAGAGGATGACATGTTTCATTTCACCCCCCCCTATCTATCTATTCGTCTGCAAGTCACACCCGAACAAGAAATTAGCACACCTACTTGCTGCCTTCGTCCCGCGGCGTGAGAAATAGCCGCGGGGGTGTGTGCGGCTATTTGAACCCGCGGAGACACATGTCCTCCGCGGAACGTGTGCATCAACACGTGGAGAACCGTATGGTTGTCTGTAACCACATGGAGTTTTGGTGTGGACGTAGCCATGTGGCAAGGCTAAGTGCGATGGAGCAAAGGTCTCAGGGTCGTGAGATCAGCTTATCCCACGCTCAAACGCTATGCAAGAGGGTACCTTGCAGCCGTCAAGAACAATGTATACATGGCGGTGGGTGGGAACATGCCGGGGACGCGAGGATCTGCATGAGCACAGGGAGAGAAAAAAACATGGGATTTTTTTTCTCCGCAGGCGCAAGGTTGATGTGGACGGAGGACGAGGTTGCAACGAAGCGGCGAGAGGGGGTTTCTCTTTTTCGGGAGACGTGTTGTGTGGTCTACACAGTTTGATATTTTGGGGGGAGGGATGGAGGAGGATTTGTAGTAGCTAAATTCCATCATCTACAATATCCCAATGGTCTAGCCACATTTCTTCCTATTCAAACCCCTCAAAGCCACTCTCCTCCCCCTCGGCTTCACCCTCCTTACTCTCCTTTCCCGCCACCGCCGCCCTCCGCTTCACCCCCTCCCGCGCCCCGCGCCGATTATTTTCCACGCGTCTCTCAAACCCGCTCTTGGTACTGATCCTGCTCCCCTTGCCTTCTTTCCGCCGACTCTCCACGCCCCTGCGCTTCAACTCTTTCCTCTCCCTCTTGCCCACATCCGGCAGGGCGTCGAGCAGCCACTGCTTAACATCGCCCTCGCCATCTTTCCCGCGCTGGCTCTTCTTGATGACATTCGCGACGAGCTTGACGTGCGGGATGTCGTCGTTGGTGTAGAAAGTGACTGCGACGCCGCCGTCGCGACCCGCGCGAACCCGTGCGCCCGCACCGGTGCACGTAGGACGCAGCGGACGTGGGCACGTCGTAGTTGACGACGCCGTTGAGGCCGCGGAAATCGACGCCGCGGGATAACAAGTCCGTGGTGATGAGCACCCAGACGTCGCCGCGGCGGAAGCGCGTCATCACGGCGTCGCGCGCCGAACTGCTCAGGTCGGCGTGCAGGACCGCTATGCGTGAACTGCCGCCGGCTTCGGGCGGGATGTCGTAGAGGAGTTCCGAGTGCAGGGCGATTGCGCGGGGGATGGTTTGGGTGAAGACGAGGAAGGGCGGGCGCAGGGAGGGTTTGGATGGGTCGGAGGGGGCGGAGGGGTGCAGGAGGTTGCGCAGGCCGAGGAGTTTGCCGGCTTCGGTGGCGGCGTAGGTTAGTTGGTGGGCGATGTTGGGGATGGCGGTGTCTTTGAGGCCGACGACGAGGCGGAGGAGAGGGGGGCGGGTGGGTGGTGTTGCGAGGGATGTTCTTGAGAGGAGACTCTGCCAGCGGGAGTTCAGGGTGGAGATGGTGAGGCTGTCGATGTTGGAGCCCATGGTTGCGGACCACAGACCGACGCGGAGGGAGAGGTTGGAGCAGGCGTTCCAGACGGCGGTGGTTTGGTCGCGGAAGAGGGGGTCGAGGAGGACGTCTGCTTCGTCGAGGACGAGAGAGGCGGACGCTCGGGAGGTCGGCTACGGTGCCGTCTTTTATTGTTAGGGCGTTGAGAAGCGCGAGGGGCGACGACACGAGTATAGCT